CGCGCGATGTCAAAGCGTACTTGAGCCAGCATCTTCGACCCGGATGTGCGCATGTCCGAGTTTTCGCCAGAGCTGCAGTAAAAGTTCGGGGAGTTGAAGCTGGATCATTTGCAGAAGATCAGCGAGGACATTCCGAAGACCAACAAGCAGAGACGCCAGTTTATGCTTAAAGTCGACTAGGAGACGCACAATGCGATGACCAAGATCGACTGGACCTTGCGATGCAAGATGAGCCACGCCCTCCGGGCCAAGCAAGGACATAAGCTTATCAAGCGCGTCCTGCTGCGCCGGGGGCAAATTCGCGAACACGGGGTGTTCCATCCTCGCAGAGGATATAGTCAACCGACTCAGGAGCGGGATTGACTACGAGTGCTACCAAGTGCAGCGGGGCTGCCGTAGCTTTAGCGTCAGAGGAAGACGTTCGACTCAAAGAGTCACTAATACTAAGTTCCTTATCCAAAGGACACTTACAGCCCAAGACCAGGGCTCAAAGTTAACACATTAACTTTTATGCTTCAAAACCAGAAGTGTTTTATTTACTATTATTGCGGCCAAGCCGCCTAGGGGTAAATGTATCTCTTTAACTATCTAGCATAGTTAAACCTAATCAAATGCATAACGTGTGGCTTTCAGCCAACGTACTGAGATACCTTGTTAACTCTCCAACTTATGTACTGAGAGTTTGTTAACTCTCCGGGTACTTCGTACCCCTGTGTGCTCCACACCATGTAACCCCGTTACAGCAAATCTCCGGCAAACCCTCGACACTGTGCATAAATCTGTGGTCGTGAACAATGCCGAGACGCGGGCTAGCGCACGCAGGGCGAAGAATAAAGGCAACTTAGCAATTATGGTTCAAATTCGAAATAGATGACACTGTGCTCTACGCTTACGCTTGGGCTAGTACTCGAGCTAATCTGAGTGTGCGTTAGTGCGGCCTAGCCAATGCCGTCGATACTGAATCCAACTGGATTTCAACATCGAAAACCTACTTACTGGCGAACACCGTGCAGTGCACCCCAGCTGCCTCAGCTTCTACACCAACGCTTCGTTTAATGTGACAGAGGACCTGTTACAACACATCGCTCACCATAGCGAAGGTCACATCATTAATGGGCTACGCGACACGCGCTATGACGTCGTGAACGAACAGTTCCCTAGTTGCTACGTTGAAGCTGGTCACCGATCAAATATCATGTCACTTCGATGGTACCCACCCCGATTGAAGACAGAAGCTCGTCTCAAGTAGACCGACGTGGCAAATTTCAAGTGGCTAACATATTCATGGCGTGGATGTATTGGTGGCTTCACCTACTGGATCGTGTCCAGAAGCTGTAGGACATGTGATAGGCACAATAAAACCATGTCCAGCTCGAGGATTGAGTCGTCGTTTCTGGAGTGCAAAAGTACAGTGCAAAGTCTGCGCTCACCTCCGCGGCGAGCACAAAAAATCGTTACAGGCTACTTACTACTGCGAGGACAGCTCACAGGGTGATGCAAATTGCTTCCTTTGCCCCAAGTCGCGCCATTTCTACTAGGCGTGCGAAATACATGCTATCGAATTTGGCATGACAATTTTGAAAGTGGATCCTCCATCCAATCATCGCTCGGTAAGCGTGTCGTCTACGTCCATCGGACAAGACTGGCACACGCAAGCCCACTCGTCGTGAGCTGCTCTGTCATCAAGATGGCGACGCCGGCAATGAAGAAGTTCAGCCTTGTCTACAATTTGCAATTGCTTTCGTGTGCTAGGATACAATTCATTTACTTAAACATGGCTCATTTTGGTTGAATTATGATCTAAACTCAATCGTAAGTAGGCACATGTTTTTAAAAGAGATAGGCTTGAAAATCGTAAGTTTTGATTTTTGGAAGAAAGACGTGCTCAGAAAGTCGTAACTCATACGACGAAGCTCAGAGTATCCTCTAGTATTTTATAGCGGGAATCCAGTGTTTTTTTTACTACTTATACTTATACCGAAGTCGTAAAATAGGTGGTTTCAACGCCGATCGGAGGGGCGAAATGTTTAGTGATCGATAAGATACAGTGGCCTATAAATTTATAAATAAATCCAATTCCGTGGGGCTGAGCGGTAATCTCTTGCAAGTTTTTGTTTTTTTCAGCGTGTAGCGGATTCCAATTTTATTTCGTAATACTACTACAGTAGTAGAAATCAATATCCGTTTAAACAACAAAAGCAAAATAGAGGGCCACCTTTCAGCATCATCAGCCGTCCGGACTCCAGATAACCAAAATTTCTTTCGAAAAATCATGCATTTTTTCCGCTTAAACAGCCAGAACTCTTATCGTACGCTTATTTGAGGTATCTCGATAAATTTCTGCTCTCCTGGAAGCGCCTCCTCGCCTTCGATCAGGAAAACTTACAATTCCCGTGCAAGGCCGTTCGTTGCAAGGTTCGACCCGCGATTCTGTTATAGTACCAATTCCGATTTAGTTGTCTCTAGGAACGACAAACCAATGTAGTTTGTGCATAATCAAGTATTCTGTGCCCTCTTCCTCCATTTTCAGCAGCCCGAAAGCTTTCAGCGCTGACGGATTGTAGTACAGCTCACCTCCTTCCAAACAGTAGCCACTGAGCAGCATGATCCTGCTCCTGAGCCCTAAAGCCGTGTCAACGGAGCAGGGTTTGGACAAGATGTCAAAGGAACGATGTTTAAGCCACACGTACACCATTGCCCACAGCACACGCACAGACGAGATAATGCTAATGACAGTAACCACTACCACACCGTGACATACCAAACCCCACAAGTAGTAGGACACCGCGAGAGCTGTTGGTTTGGACCGCTTCAAGTCCGACTTATTCAACCCGGAGAGAAACGCTTGAAGTCCAAGAGCATTAGCTATTTCACCAACCAGAGCGACCTCGTAGCTGAAGAGAACTCGTTTGATTCGCACCCTCCACCTTTCGCTTAACCAGTTCATGCTTTCCACCATCTCAAACAGCAACAGCATTAACCCGGACAAGTTGTAGCCTAACGATGCGTACTGGACTCGAGTTGCCCAGCCGTCGTTCGCGATGATGAGGAACAAGTCAGTCATGATACCTTACACGATCAAGTAAAGCAACGCCGCACGCTGATAGTTCGACGCCCCATGCGCAGATAAGCGCAAACTCTCCTGGACGAACACGACGACTTGTTCTTCGCAGATTGTTTCTCCTAATTCGTCGCACCTTCGACCGTAGCGTGTGCACAGAACGTAGCTTCTTCGAATCAGTAAAGCACGATATACCAGCCAGATCGCACCGACAATGCCATACCAGTACGATACTCTGGAGTTCGTACTACCCGTGTCCTCCGCTAAGAACGATCCGTTAATATCGTACGATCCAAGAACATCCACCTGAATGTACGACAATCTCTTATTGGCACAATACGTGCCAGTCTCTCCTTCGAAGAATGAGTAGAAACCAATACTGGCGTGGTAAAAGTACACATCGAAGGGGAAGCTGTCATTTGCACAACTGGATGGTGCAGTACGATGGGGAGCCACTTTTGAACTTCCGATGAAGTAGTTTCCGTGTGTGTTATACTGCGGAATAACGGCGTGGCAAACGGTGCCATTGTCCGTAGTATAGTAGTGCGTTGGCTCGAAATTCCACCAGACTCCAGCTAAAACAAACGCTTCTACAGGGCAAAAGTCCGTCAGATTTGCGGTCTCCACTTGTTGCGCTTGAGGTACGACTAGGATTTCCGACATCCTGGTAGGTCGGACGAATTGCGTGTAGCTTCGCATTTGTAGAGCCAGAGGAAACACGCCCATGAATAGCCACCATACCAGCACCATTCGCTGCGCAGTCAGCCATCGGTTGTGTTTGATGACACCTCGTAGATTTCCTGCACATTTCCATTCATTCGCAATGACATCGCTGGCAGTGTAGAAGAGTCAAGCTAGTCTCAGCCAAATTATTTTGAAACGTCGATACTGCTTAGCGCGAGCGGTTGCGGAATTAAAGCCAGAGTTTCCGTTTCCAATGCTAGGACTATTCATAACTCATGCCAACTGTTAGTGATTTATTAATAGCCGCTACCATTCATTAATACGGTCACCAAGATGGCCTTCCGAAAAATCCATTGCATGTGGCAATATTTGTCGTGAATAATCTATTTCTCGAAACCTAAAAATAGCAATAATTTTCGTACGAACCTATTTGCACAAGGACTGGTCGGCTAGCTAATCTGCCAGCACTGATATGTAGGTTTCCATATTGTACTTCTGCTTGAGGATATACCTGTAAACTATGTAAGTTCTGTAGATGAAAAATAAAACACCAGCAGTCGAAAATGTGTCATGTTTAACTTCCACTTGAATGCTACCGGTATATTTTCATGCCGAAAATGTCACGTTTTGTCATAGCGCGGGTAGGGTGATCTTTCATTTGGCAAAATATGGTACAGTGCAAATAAAAATATTTGTGTAATATTTCCGTAAGTGAATGTATAAGGCTCATCGGGATAAGCTAAGAGATATAGAAAACCATATTTGCACCCATTTTCCAACTGGTTGTGAGCTTAAGTAAAATTTCGATATGTTTTCCAGTCTGCTCAATTACTTAGAGCATAAATGACTAAATGTAAAGAAGCATTGTTAGAGCATCTCAAAACTTTGACAGTAGTCATTTTAGTACTACGTTGATTAGCTTGGTAAATTGATTTGTCGCTCCCCAAAGAAATGACGAAAATACTATTGGTATGTTTTTTTGTCATCTACGGTAGTTCCTTTTTCCCAAATAACCCCATTTGGGTTTTGCAAGGGCGGAGGGTTAATAGTCGGTGCCTTTCTTTCATTCACCCAAAATACCCTGACCTCCATTTACAACACTATAATAATGCTGCACGTTTCATCTCGATCTTCCATGAGGAGTCTCTTGGTGCGCCTCTCCAGTTACTAAACGCCGTCGCAGGGCTCACAACTCGAGTGGTTGACCATGTCGACCCCGCGGATGCAATGGGTGAGCCAGCGCATCGTGGAGACGTTCGAGCCCAGCGCGAGTCAAGCCGACGTGAACGAGTTTCTAGCATCTCCAGCCACACGGAAGCTGTTCGACGAGTTACTTAGTGGCAAAGACGCGTGCAAAGTGTTCGTGCACTTCCAGACGGCCGCCACAGTCGAGAACGGACAAAGTACCGTAGACTCTGGCAGTAATAACACTAGTAAACTGTGTGCGTCGGTGGGGAATTCCGTGCCGATTCGAGCCAAATGCTGCTTCTTCCTGCGCACCACCGCCGACGGGAAGCCCGTGGACGTCCAGAAAGCCAGCGATAACTCCATTTGCTTCGGAGAATTGGCCTCTAACATCTTACGAGACCTCGAGACGACCATCAGCTCGTTATTTTCGCCTCTTTTGAAGGCCAAAGACGAGTGGGGGAAAGCAGATTCCGACTTAAAAAACGAATTTATGACGGAGTCTGAAAAATTCGCCAGCGACCTCAAAGAAGCGTTGAATAGTATGGATAGCGGTCTTGAGTTAAGAAGACCCGACCGTAGTATTTTAGCTGAGACCGTGACTGCTACCGGGCATGGGAGGGCGAGTCTGCAAGTGGCGGACTCGCCAAAGTTGATCGCACACTATGAAGAGGTCCTTAAAGAGTGGTGCGACGTCATCTCGACGTACTTGGAGACTAATACGACGACTGACGGGAGAGGGAACAACGACCAGACCATCGACGACGACGGTCCGATGGGGGAGTTGGAGTACTGGAGACGACGCATGCAACGCCTTACCAGCATCACGGAACAGCTCAAGATGAGCGAGTACAAGGACGTGTTTGCTGTGCTCAGTAGGACCACAAAGAGCGTGAGTGACGACATTAAACAGCGCCTCCAGACGCTGCTCCGACGCTGGAAACAGATCGACATTGGCATCACGGAAGCAGCCAATGAAGCCAAAGATAACGTCAAGTATCTCTTCACGCTAGAGAAGTTCATCATCCCGTTATATAACGGCACGCCCAGCTCCATCATCGACACGTTGCCGGCGCTTATGAACTCGATCAAGATGATCCATTCCATCGCGAGATACTACAACACCACCGAGAGGATGGCCAACTTGTTTACGAAGATCACGAACCAGATGATCAGCAACTGTAAGCAGTGTGTAACCGGCGGGGAGAACTACGAAGTCATGTGGGATAAAGAGCCCGAGGAACTCGTCCGTCATCTGGACTCGTGTCTCAAGTTGAACGAGGCGTATCAACAGCAGTACCGAGTGACCAAAGACAAGCTCTTCGCGACGCCCAAAGGCAAGCAGTTTGAGTTCAACGAGATGAAGATCTTTGGCAAGTTCGACCTCTTCTGTCGCCGCGTCATGAAGCTCATCGACATGTTCACGACGATCCACCAGTTCTCGTCTCTTGGCCAACATCGACTCGAGGGAATGGAGGACCTGATCGCCAAGTTCAACTCGATAATTCGCGAGTTCCAGTACCGTAACCACGACTTATTAGACTACAAGAACAACCGCTTCGACCGCGACTATGTCGAGTTCAACGTCCGGATATCCGATCTCGAAGGGCTACTGCAGAAGTTTATCAACGAGTCCTTCGAGAACATCACGTCGATCGAGCACTCGCTGAATCTTCTGCGTAAGTTCCAGACGATCCTGCAGCGAGAGAACCTCAAGTCGGATCTGGACTCGAAGTTTAACGTCATTTTCCAGAACTATGGACTCGAACTGGAGCATGTGCTCCAGCAGTACGAAAAGTACAAGCAGAACCCTCCGTATCCGCGTAATTTACCGCCCGTGGCAGGTAATATAACGTGGTCCAGACACTTGTTGAAGCGGATTGAAGAGCCCATGAAGAAGTTCGAGTCGAACCAGAACGTCCTGGCCAGTAAAGACGCCAAGCGGATCATCCGCATGTACAACAAGGTGGCGAGGACGCTGGTGGCGTTCGAGTACATCTGGTACCAGGCGTGGGTGCAGTACATCGACACGGCCAAAGCTGGACTGCAAGCCACGCTGGTCATCCGCCACCCGGAAGACAACAAGCTTTACGTGAATTTCGACCCGGAAATCCTGCAGCTTTTACGTGAAGCGAAATTTTTGGACCGCATGGGCATCGAGATCCCGGAGGCGGCCAAGATTGTGCTGCTGCAAGAAGACAAGTTCAAGAACTACTACAATGAGCTGCAGTATGCGCTGGCGGAGTATGATCGTATCGTAACCAAGGTGATCCCCGTGACGGCGATGCTGCTACGCCCTCATTTTAACGACATGGAGTTCAAGTTACGTCCCGGGATGATCACGTTGACGTGGACGAGTATGAACATCGAGGCGTATCGCAACCACATCCACTCGGGGCTTCAGCATTTGGAGGAATTGGTGACAAACATCAACGATATCATCGAAAACCGGATCGAGAAAAACATGCGCATTGTGTCCAAGACGATGCTCGTGGATCTCCCAGTGGACCAATCGTTCTCTCTGGACGAGTTTGTGACGATGCAGAGCGCGAATATCAAGCGCGCGGGCGCGTTGCTGCAAGGCAAGAACGTGGAGATTGAGAACGCAGTGGAAGATTTGCTCAAGATCATCATGCAGTATCCGCTAGACTCGCACATCGAGGGCGTTTCGAACGACGAAGCCATGAAGCTCAAGAAACACTACAACCACTTTATGTATCAAGCGCTGCTGCACTGTACCAAGAACTCGCTGAACACGATCAAGAAGCGTGTGGCGTCTCGCGCCACGTCTTCAGTGTTCACGATCGAGCGTCCATTCTTCGAAGTGGACGTCCAGCTCAGTGTCCCGAACGTCCAGCTGCATCCGTCGCTAGATGAGATCCAATTGGCTATTAACAAGGCAGCGCAGACGATTCTAAGCTGCTCGAAGGAGCTGCTGGACTGGGGACAGAGCGATTCGTCGACTGTATCGGACGGTAACGGGAGCACTAACGCCGGTAAAATCACGTTTTTCGACCGGATTACCAAGGATATCGAGATTGTTCGTGTCGTTCTGCTACTTACCGGGAGCGTCCAAGGTCTTCGCAACAATGTGACGGAGTATTTGGGGTCTTTCAACAAGTACGAGTGGCTCTGGATGGAGCAAAAAGACGCGTCGTACGAGAATTTCCTGAAACGGAGTCCGGAACTGCAGGATTTCGAGAAGAAACTCAAGAGTTTTGTCGAGATCGACGACGAGATCTCGAGTTTGACGCCGATCCACAACATCGGCGCGTTGTCGCTGAACACGCGAAATATCAAGCTGCAACTGAAACACGAAAATTCGCAGTGGAAGTTGAAATTCTCCGACAATTTACACAACCAAGCGCGACGCAAAATGGAGTCGCTGACGGAATATTTCCGCTCGACCATGGGCAAACTGAACCGGAAAGTGGTCGACTTGGACTCGCTGCGCTTCGTGATGAACCTGCTGAAGGAGGTGCGAGCCCGGGAAAGCGGCATCAACATGGAGATCAACCCTGTTCTGGACATGTACGAGATGCTCGAGTACTATCTTCCTGATGGCTTCATGGAGAAAGAAGAGATGGATCAAAAGTCGGTACTACGGAGCAATTGGCGCAAGCTGATTCACCACGCCGAGGCCCGTACCGACGAGCTGAGTAAGACCCAAGCCGGCTTTAAACGTGGTCTTCTTCGTGACATTAAGGAGCTCATTGTGGACGTCAAACACTTCCGGGAAGACTATCTGGCGCATGGTCCAATGGTCATTGGAATCCCCCCCGTGGAAGCGGTGGAGAGACTCAATCGCTACAAGGAAGAGTACAAGATTCGAGAGCGGAAGCACGAGCTGTACTTGTCGGGAGAAGAGCTCTTTGCGCTCCCAAAGACGACGTATCCTGAGCTCGAGATGACCAAGAAGGAGCTGCAGCTTCAGGATAAATTGTTCGGCTTGTATACGGACGTTCTAAGTACGATCGAAGAGTGGAAACAGATCCCGTGGCTCTCAGTCGCAGAGCGAGTACAGTCGATGACGGAGAAAGTGGACGCCTTCTCTCTGCGATGTAAGAAAATGCCTGGGAAGCTTCGCGAGTGGGAAGCGTATACGGATCTGAAGAAGATGATCGACGACTTCACGGACGTCCTACCTCTTCTTCAAGAGCTCAGTAAAGAGAGCATCAAGCCTCGACACTGGGAAGCTGTTATGGCGACTACGAAGACGCAGCTGGACGTCACCGCTCCGGATTTCAAGCTCCAAGCGCTCATGGACGCGAATATCGTCGAGTTTAAGTCGGAGATCGAGGAAGTCACGGACGGCGCCGACAAACAACTGAAGATCGAGATCCAACTTGGCGAAATCTCGGCTCGTTGGGAGACGGAGGAGTTCCAGTTCCAGGACTGGAAGAGCCGGAATGTACCCATCTTAAAGGCAGTAGTACCAGTTGTGGAAGAGCTGGAGGAGACGCAGATGAATCTACAGACGATGCTGTCCATGCGTCACGTAATTCCGTTCAAAGACGTGGCGCAGGGGAAACTAGAGCAGCTTTCCGACACGTCCGAGACGCTGGAGAGGTGGATTAAAGTGCAGATGCTGTGGTGCTCGCTGGAATCGGTATTTACCGGTGGAGATATCGCCAAGCAAATGCCCGTGGAAGCCAAGAAATTCCAAAAAGTGGACAAGGATTGGGCCAAGATCATGGCGAAATCCGAGGAGCTCAAGAACGTGGTGGCGTGCTGCTCCAGTGAGCTACTCAAGTCGTGCTTGCCGACCATGTATTCCGAGCTGGAGAAGTGTCAGAAGAGTCTGGAAGGGTATCTGGAGCAGAAACGAAACAAGTTCCCGAGGTTCTACTTCGTCTCGAACCCTGGGTTACTCATGATCTTATCGCAAGGGAGTGACCCGCTCAGTATGAACGAACACTATGAGAAGGTGTTCGACTCCATTGAGCGCGTATATCACGATAAGAAGGACAAGACGTTGATCCACACGATGGTGTCTGGGGTCGAGGAAGTGCGTTTCTCGCAGATTGTCAAAGCGCAGGGCAACATTGAAGACTGGCTGGCGACACTGCTACGAGGCATGCAGATTACTATGAAGGATATCTGTCGCCAAAGTGCAGTGGATATCGGCGTTGTGGGCAACGACTTGAAGCGCTTACGGGAGTTTGTGGACCGCTATGTGGCTCAGTTCGCGCTGCTTGGGATCCAGATGATGTGGACCACTGATATCCAGACTGCACTGGAGCAATGTCGAGCGAAGAAAAACATCATGAAAGATACCAGTACGAAACAAGCCATGGTACTTACGGAGCTGTCCAACTGGTGTCTGGGAGATCTTGGCTCCAAGGAGAACCGTATCAAGATTGAGACGCTCGTGACGATCCACGTGCACCAACGTGACGTCATGACGGACCTGGCGACGCTTTTCAAGCAGAAGAAAATCTCCGACCCGAACGACTTTGAGTGGCTCAAGCAAGCGCGATTCTACTGGAGACCGGGCAACGCCGACGAGTTCAACGCTGACGGAGCATGCGTCATCTCGATTACAGACGTGGATTTCAATTACCAGTTCGAGTATCTCGGCTCGAAGGAACGATTAGTGGTGACTCCTCTGACGGATCGATGCTACATCACTCTAGCTCAAGCGTTAGGGATGTATTTCGGCGGTGCACCGGCTGGTCCTGCAGGCACAGGGAAGACGGAGACGGTCAAGGATCTAGGTCGTACACTCGGTATCTACGTGGTGGTGACCAACTGTACTGATCAACAGAAGTACACGGACTGTGCCAAGATCTTTAAGGGGCTCTGTCAGGGTGGTTTATGGGGCTGCTTCGACGAGTTTAACCGTATCCAACTGCCCGTCTTGTCCGTGGTGGCTCAGCAAGTGCTGGCGATTCAGAACGCCAAGAAGACTGGCACGAAGTATTTCCAGTTTCCCGGTGATCCGCAGAATATTTTACTTACGCAAGTATGCGGGTATTTTATCACCATGAATCCGGGCTACGCCGGTCGGCAGGAACTCCCCGAGAACTTGAAGGCACTGTTCCGAGGTGTAGCCATGATGGTGCCTGATTTCGAGATTATCATGAAGGTCAAGCTCTGTTCAGTGGGGTATTCCGAGTACCAGGATCTGGCCAAGAAGTTTTTCATCCTGTACAACACGTGCAAGGAACAATTGTCGGCTCAGAAGCACTACGACTGGGGGCTCCGTAACATTCTCGCCGTGTTACGCAGTGCCGGTAAGATCAAACGTGACAACCGGAACGATCTCGAGTCCAAGCTGCTGTACCAGACGCTTCGAGACATGAATTTGTCAAAGCTTGTGGCTCAAGATGTGCCGCTATTCCTGTCGCTCCTAGCTGACTTGTTCCCCACCGTGCAATTCCCTCCCAAAGGATCGTATCCCGAACTTACTGTGGCGTTGCAAGCAGAGATCGACAAGCAAGGCATCGTGGATCATGCAGGCTGGTTCAACAAGGTCATCCAACTATACGAGACGCAACTGGTTCGTCACGGGATCATGCTGGTGGGTCCCACTGGCGGTGGGAAAACCAAGATCTTCGACGTGTTGATGCAGGCGCTAACACTGACCACCAACATCGTCCACAAGCAGTCCAAGTTGAATCCGAAAGCCATTCGTGCCGCTGAGATGTATGGAGAAGTGGATCCTATGTCGGGGGAGTGGACAACGGGCGTATTCGCTGCCATGTGGGCGAAATATAACAATAAAGCCAACAAGTTCATCATGTGGATGACGTGCGACGGACCCGTGGACGCGATTTGGATCGAAGATCTCAATACGGTGCTGGATGACAACAAGATCTTGACTCTGGCGAACGGAGATCGCATGCCGATGACGGACAATGTGAAGCTCATGTTCGAAGTCGAGACGTTGGTGAACGCCAGTCCGGCCACGGTCTCTCGAGCGGGTATTGTGTTCATTAGTGACACCGATCTGGACTGGGCCCCCGTCGTGGAAGCGTGGATCCGTAAACGTCCGTCGACACATCAACAAGTTCTTCGGGATCTCTTTATGAAGTATATGGGCGAGAACAGTCCGATCAATCCGGGTCACTGCTTCGACTACTTGAACCGTAACACTGAAGGAGTGATGATTGTGTCTCGTGTGGGTCAGGCGTCTCGACTGTACAACTTGATGACGGGGTTACTACTTGGAGATCACGGTACGACCTTGTCGGAAGACCCCGCGAAGCTAGCGATACAGTTAGAGAAGCTGTATTTGTACTGTCTTTGCTGGTCTCTGGGCTCGCTCTTAGAGCAAGAAGACCGCGTCAAGTTCGACGAGTGGCTCCGACAGTACGACGACAATGCGTTATTGCCGAAATGCGAGCCAGGTCAGACGGTGTACGAGTACTTTGTGGACCCTCAGACGTGGGACTGGAAGCTGTGGAGACCCGCCAAATGGGAGTACCCGAAAGGCTCGAAGCAACTCGACTTCTCCAACTTACTGGTGCCTACCATGGACTCGGTACGCACGCTGTATCTCATTGAAAACCTCCATAAACAACGCAAGCCTGTGCTGATGGTAGGCGGTCCTGGAACGGCGAAAACGTCGTCTGCGTTGATGTTTTTCAACGATCTGAATCCGGACTTAATGATGATCAAACGCGTCAATTTCTCGAGTGCCACGACGCCCTTTATGTTCCAAAACGCGGTTGAAAGTGAGCTGGACAAGCGCGGCGGCAAGAGCTTTGGTCCTCCAGGAGGGAAGAAGATGACAGTCTTCCTGGATGACCTCAGTATGCCGCTAGTCAACGCGTGGGGGGACCAACCTACCCTCGAGATCGTGCGTATGATCATCGAGTTGAGCGGCTTCTGCTTCCTTTCCAAGGACCGACGTGGAGACTTCAAGGTCTGTGAAGATCTGCAATACGTCGGAGCCATGGGACATCCAGGAGGAGGCCGGAACGACATCCCGAACCGGCTGAAGCGCCAGTTTTACCTGTTTAACTTGATTCTCCCCTCCCTCACGTCCATCGACGATATCTACGGCCAGATGCTTGCAGGCAGATTCGACTCGGAGACGTACAGTAAGGACACGCTCTCGGTGGTGAACAAACTGACGCGTGCTACGATTGACCTGTGGAACTTTATGAAGGCCAAACTTCTGCCCACTCCCGCGAAATTCCACTACATTTTCAACATGCGCGAGCTGAGTCGTGTCTTCCAAGGGATCCTACTCACTTCACCCGAGACGTTCACTAGTGGCGGTGGCATTCGAGTCACGCAAGGCAAGTTGTCGAAAATGGATCCAGGTCAAGTGGTTCTGCTAACGTGGAAGCACGAATGCGCGCGGGTTTTCTGCGATAAGCTGACGAATCACAAGGACAAAGACATCTTCAATGCGTACATGAAGGAGCTGGTGAAGAGCCACTACGGAGACAACTTGGAGGAGTTCTGTCGACAGCAATACTGTATGGTCAACTTCCTTCGAGACCCCGAAGAAGACGAAGAAGGAGGCGTCGCAGACGCCGCGTTAAAGATCTACGAACCTGGCGGTACAGTGACTGATGTCCGCTCTCGCGTGCTCGAGTTCCTCGACAAGTACAACACCGACTTCCCTCAACGGCAGATGCGTCTGGTGCTGTTTGACGATGCGCTGGACCACTTGCTACGTATCTCCCGCTTGTTAGAGATGCCTCGAGGCTCCGCGTTACTGGTGGGTGTCGGTGGCTCGGGCAAGCAGTCGCTAACCCGCTTAGCAGCATATATGGCTGGCTCAACTATCTTCCAGATTGTACTGACGAAGACGTACAACACCAATTCGTTTATGGAGGATATCCGTACGCTGTACAAGTCCGCGGGTCATCTTCGTAAATCCACGACGTTCTTGTTCACAGATGCCGAGATTAAGAACGAGATTTTCTTAGAGCTCATCAACTCGGTCCTGATGACGGGAGAAGTGGCTGGGCTGTTCGCCAAAGACGAGATGATGGCTATGACTGCAGATCTCCGGAACTCGTTCGTCAAGGAACGTCCAGGTCAAGCCGAGAGCCAAACAAACTTGAAGCAATACTTTACCGACTGCGTACGTGACAATCTCCACGTCGTCTTGTGTATGTCGCCGCTTAATGCGAAATTCGCGGAACGAGCGCGAAAATTTCCCGGGTTGATAAGTGGACCCACGATCGACTGGTTCTTACCGTGGCCTGAAGACGCGCTTATCGCCGTCTCTAAGGGCTTTATCCAGGATTACCCCATGGAATGTGACGCGACCACCAAGCAGGCGTTGATGACCCACATGGGCATGGTCCACCGTATTGTCACGGATTTGTGCGAGGAATACTTCCAAAAAATGCGTCGACGCGTGTACCAAACGCCAAAGTCGTATCTGAGCTTCATCGAGTCGTACAAGAAGATGTACAACGTCAAGCTGGACGAGATTAAGGTCAAGGAGCAGCGTGTGAACTTGGGGCTAAAGAAACTCATCCAAGGAGCCGAAGACGTGCGCGCCATGTCGATCGTACTCGCCGACGAACAAGTCAAGCTCGAGAAAGCCACGGAAGAGACGAATACGATGCTACAGTCGCTGCAAGTGTCGTCCGCTGAGGCGCATAAAGAAGGCGACCAAGTGGCGCAAATCAAGGCCAAATGCGAGGAAGACGCGGCGCGTATCTCGGCCGAGAAGGAGCTGTGCGAACACGATCTGGCCAAGGCCAAACCGTTCGTGGAGGAAGCCGAGACGGCGATTGACTCGATCAAACCGGCGCATATTGGCGAGATCAAGAAGCTGGCCAAGCCTGCCGACATCATCCGACTAGTGTTCGACGGCGTGTTGATTCTATTCAAGCTGCCGTTGATCCCCGTGAAGCAGGTCAAGCTCAATGTCGCCAAACAAGAGATCGACTTCGTCGAGACGTCCTTCTCGCCGTACGCTCAGTCGATGATGAGCGACTCGAATTTCCTGAAAAACGTCCAGAGTTTCGGTGCGGTGGGCAAAGATATGATCAACGAAGAGACCATCGAGTTATTGACGCCGTACATGGAGCTGGAAGGCTTCCAACCAAGTGTAGCCAAGAACGCGTCGCTTGCAGCGGAAGGACTGTGCACATGGGTACGCGCGATGAAATTCTACCACGAGGCTTCGAAAGTAGTCAAGCCGAAACTGGAGGCGCTGACGATCGCGGAAGGACAAATGGAGGCGGCAAATAAAGCTCTCAATGCCGCGGAACAACGCCTGTCCAAGTGTAAAGAGCGCTTGAATGAGTTGCAGCAGATGTTCGAAGCTCAGATGGCCGAGAAGAAGCGCATCGAGGACGGCGCGAACGCTTTGGCACGTAAAATGCAACAGGCGTCGGACCTGATTAACGGATTAGCAGGGGAACGTGTGCGTTGGACGGACGACTCGAACAACTTCGCCGACCTCAAGAGGAGACTCGTGGGCGACTGTGCTGTCGCCTGTGCGTTTGTGTCGTACTGCGGACCTTTCAACCAAGACTTCCGGACGTATATGGTGCAGAACAAGTTTGTTCCGGACTGCGAGACGAGGAATGTGCCGGTAACGGTGGATATCGACGTGATTACGTTCTTAGTGGACATTGGCACCGTCGGGGACTGGAACATGCAGGGGCTTCCGACTGACGCGCTGTCGATCCAGAATGGGATTATGGTGACGCGTTCGTCTCGCTATCCGCTGCTAGTGGATCCTCAGGGTCAGGCGCTGTCTTGGATTAAGAATAAAGAGTCCGAACGAGTACCCAGCTACGGTACAACGTCGTTGAATCACCCGAAGTTAAAGGACCAATTGGAGTTTTGTATGGGGGAGGGGAAAGCTCTGATCGTCGCAGGCGTGGAAGAAGATATCGACCCGATGCTGGACCCCGTGCTGGAGAAACAGATCATTATTAAGGGCAAGAGCATGTCGATTAATGTGTCTGATAAGAACATGGAGTTCAATCCAGCCTTCTCCATGTACTTTATCACTCGACTACCGAACCCTCACTTCGGTCCCGAGTTACAGGCCAAGACGACGGTGATCGACTTTACTGTGACCATAAAAGGTCTCGAGGAACAGCTTCTCGGTCGCGTTATTGGGAAGGAGCAGAAGGCGCTGGAAGAACAACTCGCTCAAGTGCTGGAAGACGTCAATATGAACACAAAGTCGCTGCTAGCGTTAGACGCGTCTCTATTGGAGCGTCTGACGTCGAATACGGGCAACTTACTGGAAGATGAAGAGCTAATCGGCGTGTTAGCGAACACGAAAGAGAAGGCCGCAGAAGTGAAGGACAAGCTGATCGCCGCTGCAGACACACGGAAGTCGATCAACGAGAAACGCGAGCAGTTCCGACCGGTTGCTACACGAGGCTCGGTGCTCTATTTCTCGGTCGTGGAGACGTCGCTTATCAACTGTATGTACCAGACGTCGTTGAACCAGTTCTTGGCGCTGTTTATGAAGTCCATGGACGTCGCAGAGAAGGCGGCGTTAGCGTCCAAGCGAGTGGCGAATATCATTGAGACCATGACGTACATTTCGTACCGGTACATCAACCGCGGTCTGTACGAACGTGACAAGCTGACGTTCGTGTTACTACTAACACTAAAGATCCTCGTTACGGATAGTTTACTGACTCGAGAGGAAGTTACGTTACTGATTCGAGGAGGTGCAGCGCTGGACATCAATTCCGTACGCCGGAAACCGTTCTCGTGGATCTCGAACGAGGCCTGGCTGAACGTCATCGAGCTGTCTCAAAGTTGCAAGTTTTTCACCAACTTACCGCACGAAATGGCTTCAAACGAAGGCATGTGGCGTCGCTGGTACGAAGATAACGAGCCAGAGACTGTCGTGATCCCAGATTACGAAGCCAGACTGGCCGAGAACGAGGCTATAGGACCGTACTACAAGCTGCTGCTGGTACGGTCACTACGTATGGATCGTACGATCCTCACGACCAAGGAGTTTATTCGCAACACGCAGCAGATGGGGCCACGTTATGTAGAACCCGTAACGGATACGATAGAGAGTATCTTCGCCGAGATGAAGGCCGAGACGCCTGTGATCTTCCTGCTGTCTATCGGCGCTGATCCCACCGAGAGTATCGAGATGTTGGCACGTAAACAGAAGAACCCGTCGCCTGCTGTTGTGTCCATGGGTGAAGGTCAAGAACCTGTGGCGTTGAAAGCGATCAACGCGGCGGTGGTGAACGGCACGTGGGTGTTACTACAGAACTGTGAGCTGGGCTTGGAACTCATGGAGCAGATGGAAGATATCATGTTAAAACTCACCGAGACGATGGATCCAGGCTTCCGTCTGTTCCTTACAGCGCTACCGAACGACCAGTTCCCGTTGGGTTTACTGCAGATGTCCACCAAGGTGACGAACGAGCCTCCTCAAGGTCTACGTGCCGGGTTGTTACGGTCGTACACAGTCATGGTGGATCAGGAGAAACTGGAGCGTGTGGAGACGACGCAGTGGCGTCAACTGCTCTTCAACTTGTGCTTCTTACACTCTGTCGTTATTGAGCGGAAGAAGTTCGGACCGCTGGGTTGGGGCATCCCGTACGAGTACAATAACGGCGACCTGTCGGCCTGTACCATCTTCCTCGAGAAGCACCTGTACAACGGCCCTATCTCGTGGCCGACGCTGCAGTATATGGTCGCTGAGGTGCAGTACGGCGGCAAGATCACGGACAATATGGATCGCCGTTTATTCAACTTCTACGCCGAGTGGTGCCTCACGCCGGACGTGTGTTCGGCTACGTTCAGCTACAACCCGGCCGAGCCGATTTTCCGTTTGCCGAACGACTTCAACTACCGTATCCCCGTGGCCGACAACATCGACGACTACCGGCACTTCTGCCATACGTTGCCGGAGATCGACTCGCCGGAAATCTTCGGGCTGCATCCGAACGCCGACCTCACGTACCGAGTCAAGGAAGTCAACTTACTGCTTACTACGCTCGGTGACACACAGCCGAAAGGAGGCGGTGGCTCGTCTGGCGTGTCGCGCGAAGACGTCGTGTGTGAGAAAGCTAAGGAACTGCTGGATAGACTACCGGAAGACTACAATGAAGACGACTACAAGGCCAAGATCAACAAGTTAGGAGGACTGACTATCCCGCTCAACATCTTCCTGTTCCAGGAGATCCAGCGTCTGCAACGTGTGATCGCCAAGGTGCGGTCCATGCTGCAGTCACTCCAGATGGCTATTCGAGGCGAGGTTGTCATGACCGAGGAGCTGAGTTGGACGCTCGACGCCATCTTCGACGCTAAAGTGCCACCGTCGTGGTTGCGTACGTCTGTCGGAGATGAGTTCTCGTGGATCCTACCAACGCTCGGACTCTGGTTCTCGTCGCTGATCTCCAGAGACGAACAGAACCGCACGTGGCTGAACACGCGCCGTCCGAACTCGTTCTGGTTAACTGGGTTCTTTAACCCGCAAGGTATGCTTACAGCAATGAAGCAGGAGGTCACGCGTAAGCACTCCAAGACGGACAAGTGGGCCCTGGACGACGTGGTCTATCACACCGAAGTGACGGCCTTCGAACGTGCCGAACAGGTGCGCGCGCCGCCGAGTGAAGGCGTCTACATCTACGGCCTGTTCATGGACGGCGCTACGTGGAGCAAGTCTGACGGCACCATCGTTGAGTCGGAGCCTAAGAAGCTGTTCACGTCGCTGCCTGTTCTTCACGTTAACAGTATGTCCAAGGAGCTGGAAGCCAAGTCACGCAAGGAGCTGTACGGCGCCGTGGGGCCGTTCGAGTGTCCGTGCTACAAGTACGCGACCCGTACGGACCGGTACTTCGTCTTCATGGTGACTATGAAGTGTCCACCGGGCCGTCCGCCGCGTCACTGGGGCCTGCGCGGCGTCTGTCTGCTCTGCAACACCGAGTAGTGCTCTACCCTGGAGCAACACAGCATTTATGCGTTAAAACATGTATACTTAAATGTTTCTCTTAGGCCTCGACATCCATCTTATTGGCGCTTTTGGTCTTCTTGTTAGTCTTCTCCAGCAGCTCGTGGTTAGCCTGCACCACGGTGTTCTGCAGATGGGCCTGGATGGCGGCGAACGGGTCGTTCTTGAAGCTGGCGTGGGTCTGCACAGCCTTAAGCTGGCCCAGCTCGCGCACCGCCAGCTTCTGGCGCTGACGGCCACTAAGTGGCTTCTTCTTGCCTGTCTTGGTCTTCTTCTTTTCATCGGCTTGAAATAACGAGCTCTCGAGCTCGTCCAGACCGGCGAACACGCCGTTTTCGGCCGTCTCGGCCTGTTTCTGCTGTTCCTGAGTCACACGCGACACGATACCCATCTTACGCATAAAGGCAGCGCGTCGCTTAAGGCGCTTGCGTTGGCCACGGCTCAAACTCTGTGCTTCCGTCGCATCGTCAGCTTCTTCATCGACAGGCTCGGCTTCTTCGCCGAAAGTGGCGGCGACGGCGGCGGCGCTCAGTTCATCAACTTGTTTCAGGTCCTGCTGCTTGGTTGAGGAAGCTTTAGAGCGTGCTGCTACGCCGTGTGCACGTGCTTTCTTCCGCTGTTGACGAGCCATTTTGCATGGAATGTGGAGAGCGCCGAGAAGTGGTGCTGGAGGTGCGCGTAGACAACCAGGCAGTGTTGCAAGTGTGTGCGCTAGTTGCCAGTCAAAAGACAGGATGGCTACATTTGAACTCTAAAAAGGAATTATTGTCAATTTGCCAATTATCATGCTGGACAAACCAACAAGCTGCAGTTTTTCTCTCTAAAAAGGAATTATTGTCAAACTATCAATTGTCAAAGTTGCAGCATTTCACATCTAAAAAGAAATTATTGTCAATTTGCCAATTGTCATGTCGGACAAACCAACAAGTTGCAGTTTTTCACTGCACCGGTTTATTGATCTATTCGCACACTAGCGTCCGAAGGTAGATCGCGTGTGGCATCCTTTGCTCTCTAGCGGAACTGAACGCCTGGGGCAACGCTGTCCAGCCACTCTCTTGCGACAGACACGCGTGCGTACACTCCTGGGTACCCAGCACGTCCACAGCCATTTCCCCAGCTCACGACACCAATGAGCACATCTTCGACTGCCTGCTCCACTATGAGTGGTCCACCGGAGTCGCCCTGGCACGAGTCCTTGTCGAGTTCTCCTCCGGCACACAACATGGTCGCATCGACGTCTAGTACCTTGGCACACGCAGTGTTGTTCACGAGCGGAACGTCGACACGAAGTAGCTCGTTCGATTGCTCGCCACCTTGCGCAGTAGCACCCCACCCCATTACCGTCGCATTACCGCCGTCAACGACATCCGAATCGTTGGATTTAGCGAGTGCGACGGGTGGAAACGTACTGGGTTTCTCCAGTTTAAGGACCAGGAAGTCGTACGAGTTGGTCTCGGCTGCGTACTTAGGGTGACGCGTCGAGTTGACAACCTTGATTTGCTCACCGTCCACGGTACCACTGAGGAAATGCGTTCCGACAGAGACGTATTGGATATCTCCAGCCATACAATGTGCAGCGGTAAGCACGTGCGTCGGCGTAATGAGGGAGCCGCCGCAGAAGTCCGTTCCATTGGCCGTCGGACGCACACCCGTCGTGTACGTCTTGGTACCGGGAGGTACGATGCCTCCTCCGAGGATTAGCGGCTCAATGTCGATGTGAGCCGTCGATTCCTTGTTGAAAGCCAACTGTGAGATGTACTCTTGGTAGTTGAGCTTGGTCGGAAGATTGTCACTGTTGAATTCAACCTGACCATTGACGTTGGCCGTGAGGGTGGCCGCGATGGCAGTCAGACGAACGAGTCCAGTGAGGTGCATGGCTGGAGGAGAGGAAGAGGAGAAGGAAAATTGGAGAATGAACTTCTCGCTGCCATCGGAGCTCCGATCTTCTTGCAGCCAGCAGCTGTAGCAACCAACGGACTTTGTGTCGTACGACTGAGAAAACGATCACGGTGGACTAAAGTCCTCGTTTTGCTAATCAGGCTTGGTTGTCAACCTTCAGTCTCAGATTTCCGCTTCACTCTGATGAGGGTCGATCTGGGTTTCTCAGTATACTATACTGTGGAGACTCGAGGCATGGCTAGCTGTTTTGATGTTGCCATTGCTATAACAAAGTCGTGTTTTGCCCGATAAAATTCTGAAATTATACATCATTTTTTTTGTTAACGGGTCCTACCCCATGAAATAGATAAAATAGATAAACGTTGTCAAGATTGGAGTGATCCATCTCCTGGCATTTTTTTGCTCCAAATTTAATTTCAAGAGTCCTGCCCCTGGTTCGCGAATCAGTAACTACAGTACGAGGAATCACCATAATCCAGTTGAAAAATACTGGAATGTCCCGGAGGCCAGTAGAAAAATGCAACCACTTTTGCTAAAATATTTAAGTTCGCTGTCGTTGCTAAAAACACAAAATCATTTACGGCTGCAAGATCGCGTAATTGCACGATCGGCAGTGTGTCTTACTCCAACTAGTATATTAAGACCGTAATTAGCTTCAGTGGCATGCAAGAGTGTGGAACCCCTCTATACTGCAGCCTGCGAAAGCAATTAGATAAGCTTAGAAATATCTTTGTCGAAAGCCGGAGAGCGAGATTCATCATCTTAGTTACGGTGTATTCCATAGCGAAGCAGAGCGAAGCAAGGGAATTGTGTTTTCCACAATAGTTTAAGAAGCGGTATACCGCCGAACTACCGGTATATACTTTTTCCCTGCTTGCTGCTGGCCACACGTGGCGTGTTCCCTCACTTCGTATTTGGAAGAACAAGCAGCAAGCAACCAAGAAATAAGGGGGATTTCAACCTCAACATCGCAATGACAACTCAAGAAGCCTTCGAAGCCCCCAGCGCCCCAGCTCGCCGGCGCAGGGCAGGTACTGCCCCCTCGGACAGCGTAGCTCCGGCCAGTAGAGCCGACGTCGGGGATGTCACCGGCGGCGTGGAGCCATGGACCGCCGCCTCAGTGCGTAGTACGACGGAGCCCCCCCACCTCTGCGTACGAGCAAGCGCGCTGCATCACGCGGAGCGACCGCTGGCGCACCAACCGAAGCCCGGAACGGTAAGAAGAAGGCCACGAAGCGCGTGGCCTCGACGAACGCGTCTGGGACAGGGCGTAAGAAGGCCGACGAAGGTGCGGACGACGCGTCGGACCAAAACCTGGAAGAGAAGGCGGCCCCACCAAAGCCGAAGAGGTCGAAGAAGGCTGCTCCGCCCGCGGAGGCCGCGTCAACCGGCAAAATCGCGGTACCAACAAGGTCTGAGCTCGTTTCTGACTCTCGCGACGATTTCGACCTGAGCTCGTTCATGCCGTCATTCGAGCCCGGCCGAGGGACGGCGACGGGTAGCGTACCTACTCCTGCACTTCTCGCGGAAAATTAAGCGGACTCAGTACCTGCTGCAGCCCCCCACAGTTCCTGAGGTGAGCGTAATGACTGAGCTGCGCGCCCTACGCGAAGAGGTAGTTCGTCTGCGTATGATTCACCGTTAAGATCGCAATCGCTGGGACGGAGCTCCCCAACAACTCGAAGGGGGAGCTTCCCCCACTAGACGCACGCTTCCTGTCGAGTGCAAGTTTCCCGGAAGGCTCCAAGAAAACGAAGGGCGACTACAATCCGCCGCAAGCCCATCTGCTGGCAGCCAGTCGGATGTTTCGAGACTTCGGGACGGAGACAGGTACGGTTACAGCTGCTATGTCGTTTGTGCTACGGGTGCGGGAGCTAGAATGCGTCAAGTTTCGTGTGGCACCGGCCGTGCCGATGGCCATCATCAGCGGCCGGCTAGGGTCTCGCGGGTTGATGATCATGCACTTTAAGGAGAGCAGCGAGATGGCATATCTGGAAGATGGCTCAACTAACGCAAACTTCTCCAGCGACTTCAGCCCTTCGGCCGGGCTGCCTACCGTTGGTGTTGAATGCAGTTCATACGAGGACATCCTAGATGCCATCCACGGGCTAAACGCACTGGGGCAAGATGTTTGGTACGACTATATGCGAAAGCTTACAAGTAGGTTGCGAGTGCTCGTGTCGAAAAGCAAGTTAGCCGACCTGGACACGACGCCGGTGCGTGTGCGACTTACTCTCCTGTACGTGAGCAAGTTCTTGGGCTCGGTCCTGGCGTACATGCAGGACGACAGCCCACAGTGGTGGTCGGTCTTCTGCGAATCGCTGCGGGCGACCGGGTATCACTCCACGGGATGGGCTATGGCGCTTGTCGGCGTACTCGCCTAGGAGAAGCAAGGATCTCGCGAGACGCGCGGCAATGGGTAAGCGCGACAATGAGCGCAACCCGGCAGTTCCGGATGCTATTCGACGGCTAATAGCACTCAACCATCGCGGCCAAGAGCCTTGCCTTCTGAATGCGGCGGGGCTGCCATGCTCCGGAGGCTCGCGAGACCGGTGCGGCAACTCGAAGCGTGTACACCACTGGCCGGATCCGCTACCTGCGCGTCTACAAGACCGGGTGGACCGCACGTATGGCTCCCACCACACGAACCAAGGCGTCCGTCGCTGATGGAGCCGAGAGGTTTGTAGCTCGACATCCTTTCGGTTCGAGGACCAGATAAGGCAGGATAATACACAAGATTCTGCTGAAGTTCTGGCTACGAGCATCCTTAGCGAACTGTGTTCGGACACGCCCTTCCCGACCATGGAGAGTCTGGAGGCAGAGGTTAGGGTGAGAGCAAAGCGGCAGGGGAGGATTTTGCCGCGCGAGCGAGAATTTTCCCCGGAAGGCCTCCGTTTCGCTAATGAAATCCTCTCCTCACCTGCCAATGTACCGGGTTCCTTGCCTTCTAGGTTCACCCTAACCTGCGGTGAATCGAGACAAGTGACGTCTTCGGCTATACAGCCTCCTTTGACTATACAATTCGGGTCGACCATACAGTCACCCACGGCTATACCGCCTCCCTTGACTATACAGTCCGGGTCGACTATACAGTCACCTACGGGTATACAGTCACCTACGGGTATACAGTCTCCCTTGACTATACAGTCCTGGTCGACTATACAGTCACCCACGGGTATACAGCCTGCTTTGACTATACAATCCATGTCGTCTATACAGCCATCCAAGTATACACGCCCTCCGGGGGGGGGGTACAAGTCAAGCAAATCCAGCCAAGGTACACTCGGCTAACAGAGATGGCACAGGAAACATACTTCGGATCGCAAGAACCCCACGCTGCCCTGTAGTCTCAAGTCAAACCGCGGACCAAATGCATGAGAATGCACGCCGGCGACGGGGCCTGAGCCGAGAAGTTCAATTGGATACGCTCGGGAAGGTTATGGACAGCTTCGGTATAAAGCTACCAGCGCCTGATTTCCCTACAACGCAAGAAGGCACTGATGAACCTGTGTACTTGCTTAATATGCAACGCTCTCTATCGGAGCTCGTACGTCGTTCAGCTTTATCGCTACCGGCGTTGGTGGAGCTGGTTCGGGGACAAAAGGAGCGGGACTATCGCCCGAACAAGAATCTGGTCCCAGCGGTTCTTGGCGGCCTATGCAGAGAATACAAGCACTTGGCGCAGGTGCTGAAGATTGCTCGAGAAGGCGTCGAAGTTCAGCTTAAAGAAGCGCTGCCTCGGCAGTCTGTTCACCCAGTGAATTATGGCTCTGCTCCGGAAAGGATCAACATCCTGCGCAAGAATATCAGGAAAGAACAAGATGCTTGGAGGTGCCTGGTCCTCGACATGGATCATCTGAAGCATTGGCCAGAGATAATCATTAGCCCCTTCGGCGTCGTAGACAAGGGCAGCGAGGACACTAAGGTCTCCGGCCGTACAATCCACGATCTGTCATACCCTGAAGGAACATCGATCAACGATTGCACTGATCAAGACAGCATTACCAAGCCTGATTATGTCCATTGCGACGCAGTAGCCCGGGAGAGTTTGAAAACGAAGCTAACATTCCCCGGTGTATCGGTATACGTGATGGTGGGCGACGTGGTTACGGCCTTCCGCAACATTAGCATTCAAAGCAACAGCGTTTACCTGTTTGCCGGGGTGATCGAAGAGGAGAACGCACTGGTGATCAAGCTGTCCGCGCCTTTCGGATGGACAGGCTCTCCCGGATTCTTGGAGATATTCGGCGGAGCGATTTCCCACGTTCATGACTGTCATACGAGCGCAACTTTCCCGGACGGCTTCTTTAACTATCACTGGGTGGATGACCATATCAACGTAGCTCCGGACGTAGGATGACGTGCTCCGACAGGGACCGCTCCCTCCGCTACGCCATGGTGGCCATTATTGGCGCTGACGCCATCGACACTGAGAAGTTCACTGAGTGGAAGACACGCCAGCGCGTTCTCGGATTTGAGTTCGATTCCGTCGATGAAGTGGTCGCACTACCTCTTTTCAAGATCCAAAAGGCACGCAAGATTGTCGCATCTGCTTACTGCGCCTCGACACTGACCCGAAAAGAGTATCGGTCGTTAATGGGCAGCTTACGGCATGTAGTTACCTGCAGCGGGGCTGCCGTAGCTTTAGCGTCAGAGGAAGACGTTCGACTCAAAGAGTCACTAATACTAAGTTCCTTATCCAAAGGACACTTACAGCCCAAGACCAGGGCTCAAAGTTAACACCTTAGCTTTTATGCTTCAAAACCAGAAGTGTTTTATTTACTATTATTGCGGCCAAGCCGCCTAGGGGTAAATGTATCTCTTTAACTATCTAGCATAGTTAAACCTAATCAAATGCATAACGTGTGGCTTTCAGCCAACGTACTGAGATACCTTGTTAACTCTCCAACTTATGTACTGAGAGTTTGTTAACTCTCCGGGTACTTCGTACCCCTGTGTGCTCCACACCATGTAACCCCGTTACACTCTCCCCCACTAAGATGAGAACATTCCGTTCTCGAAACTCTCCTCAGCGAGGTCACGTCTTGTTAAGACGGCGGAGGTTACTACACCTCACACCAGCGTTGTACAGCTCCGTGAGCTCACAAACGCCTACGCATCGTTGATGCCCAACTTCTCGTCGTCGGCCCACGGCCCAATGCTCCAAGCGCAGCGCGCATCTTGCTCTCAAGCGGTCTCAGACCTACGCTCGCGCTCCGCGCCTACTCCAAGAGCTGCAAACCGCTTAGAGCAATGCTCTTGACTCATTCGAGTCGTCGACAACAGCTCAGCGGTTGAACACTCGCTTCACAAGCGATAGGTCCGTGGTCAAACCCACTAGGGCACAGCCTCTCGTCCATGAACGATTGTTCACGCTTGGACAAGCTTAAGGGCAACACCCTTTT